CTGCAGGGGCTGGTGCTGCACTTCCCACCAACAGGGCTGTGTTCCCGGACCCTGCTGGGATGAGGGAGCGCCTGGAGAACGTAATGACGTCTCGGTTGTCTTCAGCTGAGATTTATTTCTTTTCATTCCTCCACCGCCACCCGTTTTAATTGATTTCTAGGACACTAATTCAGGAGGTAGCTTTGGCTTTCTGCTCCCCTGTGAGAACCTGTTGCAATGCAGTTGTGAGTTTATGCATCATGTTTCCAGGGGAACCCTACCCTGAATGTTTTGTGATAGCCATACTCAGCCACAAGCAAGACTTAAGCTGCCATAGAAGGACAGTCTTTTAGTGAACCTGAAGCTACTCACACAGTGGTGGGGTTTTTTCTTTCTTTGCCTTCTTTTTTCTGTTTTTCTGTCTTTATACATGGTGATTATCAAACTTTGGTTGTCAAATATCTTTAACCATGCTTACCCAATTACCTGCTCCACATCTTCCTCCCACCCCCAAACTAGGATTCCTATTTCAAACCCATACCTGTCTCTGCTTTTCCTGTTGCACAGCCCAACTACCCACACCTGTGGTCACAACCAAAACGCCCATCTGCTTAGCATATCCATCCCACCAAATTACAAGCCTTTTCACGGGCAATCTGCATCCATAAACCACGATTTAGCCACATCCCCTCAGCCACATTAACACCTTGCTTGCTTCTTTTGTTTGAGTAATCTCAGTTTAGTCTTTGCTCAATTTAGCCTTGCTTCTGAAGTTGCACACCTTGGCATACTGTAAGTGAATATTATCTAGAGAGCTCAGAATTGTTGCAGCTTAAAAGATTAAAGTACTGTAAAGCACCGGCCTGGTATTTACAGAGGCACTCATTCCAGTAGTTCATTTCCAGACAGGCAGTTGAAATTAAATTGTGCCCTACTCTGCCTTAAGTAAATATATAAAACCCTATCACTAGGGTTAGTTGATGGAATATATGTTTATATGCAAAATAGAGTTCTCAAGCAGCGTGTTAAGTTCACCCCAAGACTTTCAATATCACAAAATTATTTCTGAAGAGTCTTCAATTTTACACTGCTTTTACAGTGATCATAGAGTTTCTTAACCTTTCCATGTATGGAATAGAACTTTTAATGACTACTTTGCACACAGACAATATGCTTAATTATTTTTTTCCTTGAAAAAATATGAAAAGAATAATAGGGTGTTGTTTTTATCAAAATATGTTCTTGATAATTTCCTGCACTTCTTCTGTCTCTAACAGTGGGATAGAGTCTAAATAACTTTCTCATCATTTTGCTTTGATGTTATTGTTAAGCTATAAGTCTGTGTGGATGTCATTACGATTGTGTTTCTTTTCCTTTAAAGACTGCCTCTCACTTCTGTAGAATTCTAGGATCTCATATTTGAAAATTTGCTGCAGCTTTATCTTTACAGTAATACCAATTATCAAGGGTGCTTTGGGGCATTTTTTTTTCCTTAGAACTTTAGAGGCCACCCTTGTCCGAATTTGTTCTATGTTATCTAGCATGGGTGGACTTAATGAGGCAGTAATTTTTTCTTTTTTTTAGTGACCAGTCAAGAAAGGAGTAGGTGGTCACCTACTGAAGCCACAGGAACAGCAGTGCTGTCTCAGGCCCCATCAGTACTGGGAACGTGCCTACATCAGGGCCGGCCTGCTGCAGTCAGCCTAGGCGGGGGTGTGTGTGTGTGTGTGTGTGTTAATGGCTGTTTTTCTGGTGTCTTCTGTGCTGTGTACAGCTGCTAGATTAGCACCTAAAGAGATTTGTAATAGAACTTTTATGCAATATGCTAATCTTGAGTTAATAGAACTGTACCATCGTTTTTTACTATTGCAGACTTTGTATGTATACGCTTTCCATTGAACTTTGCCATCTTAGCATATACAGTATTCTTCAGTTTTCTGAAAGCTAAACTTGCATATCTAGGTTGTGGAAATCCCTGAGGCTACCTCATTTTACATCTTATATACATTCAACGTAATACATGCATCTGTTAAACTGCTTTCTGGACAGAATTAATTGTATTCTAGAATCTTGGTTTTCTTATGGTTTTAGATGCCACACTCAGATGGAGTGCCTTCCAATAAAAAGACTTTGAGAACTTTATTTCTTCCCACTGTTTTACCTTCATCAGTCGTATCTGATACGTCACCAATACAGAATAAACTACTGGCATACCGAAGATGCAATGAACAGCAAAAGATGCTTAATCAGTTACTGTGAGTTTCATGTAATTCAAGAAATGTTGAAATTAAAATGAAAGAAACATTACACATTTTACATCTGAGAAATAATAATGGCGTTTGTTAATTTTAGAGGGTTTTGATGTCAGTATTGCAGTGCTGAACACTTTCCATCTAAAATCATTAATAATAGAAGAACATTTGATGGAATCTCTGATGTTTTTTCTTTTACAGCACTTAAAATCTGCTTGAGGTATATATGTTGGGGTGAGTTGTGAGGAGAAAGTGACTTTCACATTTTGAATGTTGTTTATGACAGACTGAAAGCAACCCTTTCTC